GACCACAGAGAGTTGTGCTGGTTCCAAGTTCCTCTAACAGGTTAGAGCACAGGACAACGACACTGAAACTACTTGTTTTGTTCCAGAGGACTTGAACAGAGATAGAACAGAGCTCTGTTCAATCCGCAGGCTGAGCACCTAGGGTGGAGCTTTGGACAAACCACAGGATGCTTCCCTTGGATGCCCAAGATGCCTTTTTAATACTTTCAAAATGCCCTTTCTGAAGTTGCGTTATAAAAATGACTGAATTTTCACAACTCAGAAGGCCCAGCACTACTACTTCTTCAAACGCAAATTAACGTACAGCAGCAAGGCTGTCACAACACTCTCCTAAATCCTCCTTCAGCTCTGGCAGAGCAGATGATTTTAAATTAATGTCTCTAAAGGAAAAGCTATCTATCATCTGTGATTTGAAATTCTGGCTATACAACAGGCTGTTATCAGTACGAGGTCTGCCTTTCCCCAGTTTACAGCAAGACATGTGCTCCAGCTCAAAGCCCTCCTCTTCAACACGAAGGAAAACAACAGCTTGGACAAGCTGTAAAGCAGCTCGGTGGCTGATCAGAACCAGTCGCCATGTGGGCCCTTGTTTTGTATACTTACAAAATCTTGCTGAATGTCAGTGAAATCTTTTCCGTATTTTTCTAGTGCTTCCTCAAAGAGGTTTGCCTCTGAAGCAGACCACTCCTCCATCTCATCTCTGCACAGGACTGGCCCACCTTGTGGCACAAGCGCAGAGATGGCCTTGGAAATGTCATAGACGTTTTTGTGCAAAGTGTCCATCGCATGGAACTACATGGTCATAAAAGAGAGAGAGAAACGTAAGGACAAGCATCTAGGGAGAAAAAAAAACGCTTAACAGTGACACAGCAATAACAGAAATTGTGCACCAAGGTATAAGGGTGCAATGTCCTATACCTAACACGGTAAAAACTTGTTTCAAGCTTAGATTCACTGTAACTGTCAGCGCACAAGTCTAACATTCACTAACAGTCGTGGGGTTTGTGGAAGATGAGCCCTTTCATCTCAGTAATTCCTACGTAGATACTCACTGGCAGTACCGCTGTAGCACGGGAGAGAGACCCACTCACCCCAGGACTGAGCAGCCCTGTTAGGTACCATCTGCAGATGGGCTTAAGGGCATATTTTCTAATAAACTCAGCCATGAGCTTTCTTTTTTAAATAATCCACCAAAAATTCATATAAGAAAAATATTTAAGAGCAGCAACACACGCAAAGAGGTGCCCCAATGGCCAGATGTCCCCAAAAAGATTCAAGTCAAGTCACACATCATAGCTGAGTAGGAAAAAAGAATTACTCCCAGGAGCAATTACTCCTCAGCAAGCTGAGCTACAACTGTCTGCAACATGTGATTTACAAGGGCTGGGAACACATTACGAGGGAGGAATTGGTACTAGTAAACGAAAGCTTGGCTTTATTTCCCGATCTCTGTAGTCTGAATCAGGATGTTACTTGCCTTTCACACCAGTTTTGTGCACGTGCATAACTGATCTACAGCACTCTATCCTCGAATTTGTTCTCTACAGGATTTCTCATTATTCCAGTTATGAGGTGAGGCTTTGATAACAGTTCCCAGGAGACTTCATAAATTTTATTCAGATTTTCATTAAACTTTAGCCAAGAAATTCAAATTTTCCCTTTCCTCTATCTGCTGAGAATCACTTGTGATTATCAAATATTAACCACATCACCACTCCTCAGGTACTCTATAACAGAGCTTGTCAGAGAGAACTGGATCAACCGAAATTTCGGATCTGACCACATGCTTCTCCCCCCCGATGTGCCCAGGGATGCCGGTGACAGTCTGGTGGTGGGGCAGTGAGGAGTGGTGGCATTCGACGCTGCAGACAGGCAGATCATCATTTGCATTCTGCTCAAGGCAGCACTAAGCCCGTGCAGGAGGTGGGCTGTGAAGCGTATCATCAAAACGTTTTAATAAAACAACGTAAAAAATTATCTCGCAGAATCATCCGCGATGGATTGTCGGAGGCACAAGGCCAGAAGAAGTTACTTCATGTGTAAATAAAGAGTTCCTTTATAAAGGCAGGATCTGTTTCACAGCAGGCCACAATTACAATCCATCTGCCCCTCTCTCGCTGCCAACTGTTATCGCTGAGGTATTTTGCATCTCGCAAAAAACTTACAGTCCTCTTAAAAAAAAAAAAAAGGATCTTACCAGCGTGATGTCTCTAGAGGCTGCTGCAGCACTCATGTGCAAACTTGGCTGTCTGACAGAACTACTGCAATCTAGTGCTCGGGCAAACGTACCAACGGAGCTGGAAGGAATTAAACAGAGCATTAACTTTGCACGCATAACAAGCGTCTATGAACGCCCGACCGACACACTTCGAGAGCAGCAGACTCCAGTTCCCAGGAACAAGATGGCATGGTTTGGTGCTAGTCCTGAGCCAGAGACCATTCTCTTCAGATGTGGTTTGCAATTATAAACGCTTTACTCTGATCATACGACCGAAGAGGCTTAGATAGAGCAGGGGGAAGAGCGAAAGACTCAAGGATCACAAATGGGGTGCTTTGAATTACTCTCTTATCCTTAATCTCTCAGCAGACTTAAGCTCTAACAGAAACTGAGCACAAGAAGCAAGTGTTATGATGGCAAAAGTTGCTTCCACAAAGAGTGGTGTTGCATTGTTCAAAGGTACAGAGACAGATGCCAAGACCAGAGAGAAAAGAGGCAGTACTGCAAACATTTCTCTAAAAGTTTCAGTAAAATTAAAAACAATCTTTATTTTACAGCTGAATATTGTATAATACACATATATGCCCAGAGAAGTTGTGGATGCCCCATCCCTGGAAGTGTTCAAGGCCAGGCTGGATGAGGCTTGGAGCAACCTGGTCTAGTGGAAGGTGTCCCTGCCCATGGCAGGGGGGTTGGAACTGGATGGGCTTTAAGGTCCCTTCCAACCCAAACGGTTCTATGATTCTGTATTATATGGCCTGCATAAGGATACAGCAATTCTCAAGTATTTCCCAATGCCAGCCTTTCCTGCACCTGAGACCACAATCCCCATGCTCCTTGGCATCTTACTCCTGAGGAAATCAGTCGGAGAAACCTTTAACAGGAGTATCTGTTCCAGGAAGGGAAGCAGGAATTGCTGCTTGCTGCACAGTGAACTGGAGCCGAACTCCTCTAAGCAACTACAGCAACAACAAAGGTGGGGGTTTATTTTCCCCCTCCACTCAGGTCCCTTCCCCAGACCAGTTGAGCACACAGAGGAACAAACTAGTGCCAAGCAGTGCAGGAGGAGGAAAGGTAAGTGTTTAAGAAGTAGTTATCATCAAATACCTAATTTGGGCAAAACCAGCCTCCCCCACCCAAGTTTCTGTAGTGATTCACGCTTCACCCTCTCCCCAGCCTTCCAGTAACCACCCCCATCCCTGCTTCACAATTCCCCCCATCCCCAGCTTTAGCTGAGACTGCTTTTTGGGTGTGTGGCACCTAATTATACACTGGATCCCTCGGCCGATTCCGGACAGAAGCAGTTTTTATACGGATCTTTTCAGTGAGTCTGGTTACAGCACACACCTTCGGTGACTGCCCCAGCAAACTCTGGGCAGCAGTGAACAGCCCTAACGAACTGCTAAAACCAGCTTTGCCACCAAAAGCCTACTCAGGGTGGAAACCCCCATCGCAACACAGCTCTGCGGTCACTCTACACCATCCCACTTGAAAACCTTCTACCCTCTGGCTTCCCGCTGGTTCTTCCTGACACCAAAACCAGGGCACTGTGTGG